GATACGATTCATATTAGAAGATGTTACTGAATAAAGCGTTGTCAAACTCCGAATAAATGTGGCATCTTCAGACAAATGTATGAATCTGCTCAATACGTAGGTCCTTCCAACCTAATGTATCACTAGCGCGATGTTTGAGAGGCATTTTTATACATTCAAATGTGAACTATTGCTAAAAGATCGGTTTGTAACAACGTGTATAATGACAATAAGGAGTAAAGTAATTGAATGAGTCTATCAATCATCTTGTATACTTTTCAATTTCCCGTCCATGATCAGTGAAATAAACAGAGTGATAATAATAGGTGTGTAATTATCAGCATTCACTCTGTCCATGGTAATATAATCAGCTACATAATCAAACAATATAAGACAACTTCAGCTAGAAATGCATTTCAAATTAGGACAGATCTTAATGAGAAATATTGAAATCATACCAGTGTGTTCATAAACAATTCACGATAAACTTACTAACTAACTAATTTATTACTTACTTACTTACTTACTTACTTACTTACGCCTGTTACTCCTCATGAAGGAGCATAGGCCGCTCACCAGCATTCTCCATCCAAACCTGTCCTGGGCAATCCTTTCTAGCTCCGTCCAGTTGTAATCCATCGTTTTCATATCTGCTTCTATTATCCGACGCAATGTGTTCTTTGACCTTCCTCTTTTCCGCTTCCCTTTAGGATTCCAAGTTAGGGCTTGCCTCGTGATGCAGTTTGACTATTTGCGAAATATATGTCCTATCCATTTCTGTCGTCTTTTGCTAATTTCTTCTTTAGCTGGAAACTGGTTTGTTCTCTCCCAGAGAAGGCTGTTGTTGATGGTATCCGGCCCATGGCTGTTGAGTATCCTGCGTAGACAGCTATATATAAATACTTGTACTTTCTTGATGTTGGTTGTTGTAGTTCTCCAAGTTTCAGCTCCGTATAGTAGAACTGCCTTGACGTTCGTATTGAAGATTCTCACTTTGATATTGGTTGAATGTTGTTTCGAGTTCCATATATTCTTCAAATGTAGGAATGCTGTCCTTGCTTTACCGATCCTCGCCTTTACGTCTGCATGTGAACCTCCTTGTCCATTGATGATGCTTCCCAGGTATGTGAAGGATTCGACATCTTCCAAAGTTTCGTCATCAAGAGTGATTGGATTGCTATACTCCGTTTTGAATTTGAGGACCTTGGTTTTCCGTTTGTGTATGCTAATTCACGATAAACACTTGATGGGAAAGAGAGATCTTACACAATATACAAATGGGCGTCTTGAGTACAAAAGGATTAATTTATTCACAACTTAGGGCAATCCAGTAACTGGTGTGATCATATGACTTGCTACATCTCATTTATCGTCCATAAAACCAGCCAAATACTGATCAATTAATACGGTAAAAAACAGATTGATTATTAGGCTAACCATAGTCAACCAAGGCTGACTTTTATTTTAGTTTATATCATGTGTTAAATATTTAACATATTCTGTAATTTCTTCAGGGAATCACTTGTTCTATTAGCTGCTGTTGTTCCTGGATCCGAAGATGATTCAAGTGGTTCAGAAGAAGGTGGTGATCCTTCAGCTGATCCAGTCATAGTGTGGTGTGAGCTACTTATATTGATATAAGTAGTATATATATCGTGCGTTAAAAGAACGTAATGTCCGGCAGCAGAAGATGGCGAACATCAAGAAAGGAAGAGCAAGAACACAATGCAATTGTAAGAAAACGCATGTACAATGGAATGGGAGACAATGGATTAGTGTTTGCAACGGGAACAGTACAGTTTGATATGATGGAATGATATTTTGCAAATTGATGAATGACTTTATGGTATTCACATTTTATTGAGATAGTCTGTAATCTTTGTGCTAAATAAAATCGATTGTCCCCACCCGTGTTCTTGTTCACTACATTTGGTGTCGCTGCCAACCAGGAGAGGAGGAGTGTGCTGTTCTGCGGACGCCGTTGCGGGCCTGGAGTTGAGGTGCTAGTTGGGGCAGTCTGGTGCGGAGAGGTGGCGTCTGGTGAAGTGTCCTGGCGGGGCTGCGTTGGCTGTGGCGGGTGCTGTCGACGGAGTGGAGCGTTGGGACGCGCGGCTGCTGGGCGGACATCGGATGTAGATGGCCCAGCAGGCCGGTGGAGTGCGGATGTCAAGCGTCCCAGGTGCCGGGTGGATGTTGGTTGTTGTTGCCCCGGCAGGTCGACAGAGCTGTGGAAGTCAGCGCGCCGCAGACTCGACATCTTGACGGAGAGCGTGGCACAGACTGCAGAGACGGAGAATGTTGCACGGCGAGCATGAAGCACCACAAGCACGACTGCTTTAAGAGGGGGACGAGTGTGGTGTGAGCTACTTATATTGATATAAGTAGTATATAACGTGCGTTAAAAGAACGTAATGTCCGGCAGCAGAAGATGGCGAACATCAAGAAAGGAAGAGCAAGAACACAATGCAATTGTAAGAAAACGCATGTACAATGGAATGGGAGACAATGGATTAGTGTTTGCAACGGGAACAGTACAGTTTGATATGATGGAATGATATTTTGCAAATTGATGAATGACTTTATGGTATTCACATTTTATTGAGATAGTCTGTAATCTTTGTGCTAAATAAAATCGATTGTCCCCACCCGTGTTCTTGTTCACTACAATAGTACCTCAAGTTCCAGATATTAAAACTGGAAGAGTTATCGAAAGAACATTAGGTGATCATCGATTATGGAGAATGGCTCTATTTAATTTTGAAAAATATCCTGGAATGAGAATGAATGTACCACCGGAACGAATGACATGGACTGTAAGTATTTCACTAGATGAATAGTTACTTTCATTTGATTATACTAAACACATGATGTTTAACTATTAAGCTTAATCAATTCATTTGACGAAAAGTATTTTGAAAAGTTTCGAATCATAAGCAAACATGGACAGTGGCTATCAGTAGAATCCAAGACGCACGTTTTGTCCTACTTAGGACTCGTTAGCAAAAGCAGGTAGCTATCAAGACCCAATAGCTGGGTGGATAACGAGATGGTGTTTGAAGCAAACGGTACTGGGTTCGAGTCCCAGAGTGGATATCAACTCTGAGATGCAGGTACATTTAACTGACGATTTCCAAATAGGACGAAGTGACGCACTTCAAACTAGATTTCACTGCTAACCACTATAAAGCTTGTGAATTAAGGCAATATAGAGGCAATACTTACAGTATGCACATATGCCAATCAGAGACTGATTATTTACAGTCCTAAATAACAATGGGAAGATACAAGTAAAACAACACCAAATGATTTTCGAATTATATTTCACATTTCCCATGGAATCACAGTTTACTTATTATGATGACTGTATTCACTTATTATATGGTCACGTTTTGGTTACTTTGAGGACATTTTTTTATCCTTGTTTATTATGGGATATGAATGAATGTTCATCATGTACATTAACTGGATAAGTGGTAGATCTTTTAACAGAACGTTAGATTTGTTTCCCTAATCTCTTCTAGCAACCTTCAGACTTAATCTAAACCACAATCTGAACACGAGAGAAAAGGTGTGAGGACGTTTCTGTATCTCCCCAACAATACTAAGTGTTTATTTTTTTCACGACCATTTGTCACTACTAATTGTGAATGCGCATTACTTACTAAGAAGTACAAACATACTTACAAATGTAACCGCTTCATGCTATTTCAGTCTCAGTGAAGCTTAAATTTATTTCTTAATTGTGGTTATAAAAGTTCAACTAATTACTGATTTAAAACCAAGTTTCAATGTAAAGTCCTTCTTTAACTCCCTACTGGGTGGTAGGCAGGGTTCAGAATCGAATGATTTGAATACTTTTGAAAATGTATGATCTGTGAGGTTTATTGGATCTTCTATGATATCATTCATGTAAATAAACTCACTATAATTAAAAGGACAGTCTATTAAGTCTCTTTTTAGATTAAACATAATCCATGAATATCAGATGGGTTTCGTGGATAATATAATAATTTGAGTGGTTAAGATCATGAGTCAGTTGAAGCTAGACCTCCATTGAAAACCTGGAGGCACTGGACGGCCGTTTCGTTCTATTGTGGGACTCCTTAGCAGTGCGCATCCACGAATCCAGCTCGCGGGATCCAGTAGGTTAAGCGTTCACACGCGAGACTGAAGGCCCTGGGTTAGAATCCCGCGGTCGTGTTCGTGGATACGCACTACTGAGGAGTCCCACAATAGGGTGAAACGGCCGTTCAGTGCCTCCAGGTCTTCAACAATGGTCTAATATCAATCGGTTCATGATCTCAATCAAAATTATATGATTGACTTGATTATTACTATTCTATATCACAGTTTTAATTGTACGTTTATACTTTCATTGAATAAATAGATGGAATATCCAGATTACTTTGCATATGATGCTTGTGAAGAAGTTTTATTATTCCCATCAGAAGAATCACATGACGGTGTCAAGTAGGCTAACCAGACGCTAACCAGAGTTCAACTCACATCTTTGAGCTGGATGGTTTGGTCGACCACGACCAATGATATCTATTATTCATTGTATATACATACAATTCATTCATAGACTAACACAATCATCATTCATGAAGTTGCATATTATGATTGTATTACTAACGCATCAAGTATAATATGAGTATACTGTTATGCTTTATGTCTTGTATAATTAGTCATATATGACTGCCTATAACTGCATGATGAATCGTCTCTGTACTTAAAGATTAAACACCTCTATTAATTATTATTATAATTCATAATAACATTATTATGATTAGTTTTACCCATGGAAACATCGTATTTACTTTTCAACATAGTGAAAATCTACGTACAATCAATTTTAATCAATATGATTCTAAAGCTAAATTACGTAGACAAAGTTTACTTGGTCGTTATCGTTTAGATTCAACAACAGGTGTACCATTAAATCCAATGGGTAGAACAGGTTTATTAGGTAAAGGATTATTACCACGTTTGGGTCCAAGTCATTCATTTGTATTATGAATTACAAGATGGACAAGAGATACACGTACTGGTGTACAAGTAATAAGAAGTAATCGTGGTGTATTACAATATTTGGCATTAGAACGTAATAAGAGATTATGTATGCCATGGGTAAGTTAAATGTATTCATTTAATATCACTATTCAAGGTATACAGATAAAATGATTTAGTTTTTGGGTGTCTGAAGTGTTTGTAAGCTTGTTAGTAATGTCTCTGACTGTGAAGCTGGGTGATACGGGATCGAATCTGTCAGGGAGCATCAATTCCCTCAAAATTACAGGTAGCATGAAACCTACGTCTAGGGTTTCCTGTGGACTACCTTCAACCACCATCTTACGCAATGACGAGTCATCTAGACTAATGGCTACATTACAGGATTCGATTTGTACTAAGAAAAACAATGACATACATGACATTGATTACCATCCAGTGATCAATCAGCTGACGAGTGCCAAATAAAACAACGTGACGCGTGTCCTGGATTACACTGCTAGCTACTTATAAATAGTATTATCATAAACTCTCCTAAATAGAAGTGATCTCATTCTAGAATTATTAGAACATACCATCTAAATACTTTTAATAAATTCATACATCATAGAGATTTGAGTCTATTTCAAAGTTTAAAGAAACGTTAACTAGAATGTAGGGAATTACTATAGATTGTATGAATGTTCCAGAAGATATAAGTCATGTACTAACCTTGATATCAATCTCAAAATAGACAGTTGTCAACGATTTACACACCATAGATTAAACGCACAATTATTTTTCATTATTAACACCAATACAACAAATCTTTCAATGCGGGATTAAAACCCAGGGTATTCAGTCTCGCATGCGAACGCTTAACTTCCAAACCACTGAGTCGGCCGGCATCCAACCGGTGTTAATGTCTAACTTCAACCAAATCGCGTGACTATCTTCCACTATATTGAGGTAGATACCTGTCTCTACCCGATACGGATTAGCTCCATTGGTCATGGCTTCTCATTAGAACTTCAACAATCCCCTCACAAAGCTAGTCACTAGTAAGCACATGGAAAATATCAGTATGGGATTGCGGAGATTATTAAGTTTTTAGATTGAGATCATGAATCGATTGATGTTAGATCAACACCAGGTTTACAACGGTGGAAACATAGTTCTGTTTTCATTGGTATCAGTTATTATACAGAGAGATGTTATAACAATATGACTAATCATCATTCGATGTTGTTGATCATTTCTTTTCTTCTTATTATTATTATTTCAGTATTTAACAGATCATACAAACAAATGTGATTTTGATGAATGTGTACCAAAGATTATAAGCAGTTTAGTGACTCGTCGAGGACGTGCTATACTTCCAGAGAAAAGAGTTGAAAGATTATTGAAACGTATTGAAAAGGCTGAAGTTACACAGGTAATGAATAGAATATTTTCTTTTCTTTATAATATGGTGTCGTTCAACTACAATACATATGTAAATAATGTATTTCGTGCATTTTACTAACCAAACTCTCTTGGATTGTGAAATCCTCATGATTGTCAGGCTAGTTTTGTTGTAGTGATCTCAGTCTTAACATCATTGAAAACCTAGAAGTACTGAATAGAATACTTATCTTGATATAAGACAAGTCAACAATGATCGTCTATGACCTCGCACATAGCAATCAAGCATAGGACTTTCGGTCTCGCGCGCAAACTAATCTCCAGTTCACTAAGCCAGAACATAACGGTGTTATTATCTAACATTAATTTGCTGAGTTGAATTCGTAGTAGAGCTCACCACTTTTAATGATCCTATATCTGACCACAATTGGATCGCTTCTGATTGCCATTGAGATATATATGTCACTAATCCTCGTATGTACCTAAATAAATGGTTGCTCTGGTTGTCAGAAGGGGCATCGGCCTCGTGAATTCCGAAGGAACTCGGCTTTCATCATGAGGCGTCATAGTTCTTCTAAATGAAGACCTTCTGACTCCCACGGCAGAGTTTAAAAGTTTTGAATAATTTTTTCTGGTTAGCGTCTTTTTAATGAGTTAGTTTTCTACAGGATGGGGTCGCTAACCCCATGCCCAACCCTCTTCCTTTATCCGGGCTTGTGACCGGCAGTGGCCTCCGGAGGGACTCCAGGCGGATAGGACACACATTGAGGAAAGCACCCAACTGGGTCACAAGACAAGCCCTCACATGGAATCCTTAAGGTCAAAGAAAAAGAGGAAGACCAAAGTAGAACACAATACGATAAGAAATGGAGATAGACACGAGAAAAATGGACATGAATTAGATAGAATTAGAAAAGAAGGCCTAGGACAGAATTGATTGGAAAATGCTGGTCGGCGGCCTATGCTCCATTAGGAGTAACAGGCGTAAGTAAGTAAGTAAGTAAGTAATTAAGTAAGTAAGTAAGTAAGTAAGTAATCCTCGTATGTAATCATCAACTTAACTGGTGTTAATGAATAACGGAATTAAAATAAGCCAAATACGAGAATGGATTTTTAAATGCGTATATTTTGTACACTCGTTGATAGGAACAGACTGTCAGAGAGACATAGCGAAGGAAGCGAAGAAATGAGGGCGAAGCGAAACGAAATAACGCGCAGTGGTGAATGCGCGTAAGCCAACTCAATTTAATCAAGCGTGAATCAGACGAAAATAAGTTACAGACATGTGATGAATAAGATAAGACATGTACACACATACGCTCATATAAAAACAGTCAACGTTGATAAAGGAATAGTTAACAAGGTCAAAACGTAACTCAAGAAGGATAGATAAATGGACCTATCCAGAAGATAGAATAAGTTATATGAGTTAAACATGGTAAATACCGCTACAAATTCGCGATATTGTATGATTGCCATCGATTGCTTACTCGGCATAACTGTCTCACCTTAGACATGGAGGTTTAGCTAAGATTAGTCCATGATTTCAACTACAAAAATTCTACAATCTTAATCAGTCAGTCTGGCAATCAAACATGCTCAGGTCGGTACGTATATGAAGATGAAGTAAATTGAATTGCAGTATTATCCAATTCTGATGATTAACAAACACTATATGTGGTGATTAGAATAAGAATAGGATCGTAATAGAAGTTACTATCTGCACATCGAATTTGAAATTTGATCATTCAAAATATACATGAAACTGTTTCTATATGTTCAAATTCAACTGACTAAGATATTGTCAATCGACCGTTACATTTCACATTATGGTTTACCTGAGAAGATCGTCAATATCATCCGGAATTCATACAACTGCAAAGTCATGCATGGAGGACAACTGACAGGCACATTCCAAGTGAGGACCGGATTCAGTCATGGCTGCTTACGCTCCCCGTTTCTCTTTCTTCTAATGGTTGATTGGATTATGATGACTTTGATATTTGGGGAGAAGCACGAAATACAATAGACAAATCGTAATCAATTAGAAGACCTGGACTTCACAGATGACCTAGCTGTTTTATTCCATACACACAAACAAATCCAGGTAGAGACATCCGGTTCAGAAGCAGCTTCAGTCTACAGCAGTAAGCCTCAACATACACAAAGGAAACAGCAAGGTCCTCCAATACAACACGGAGAACACCAACACAATCACACTGAATAAAAAAAACTCTGGAAGAAGTGAAAAGTTTCACGAATCTAGGAAGCATCATTGATGAACAAGGAGGATCCAATGCAGACGCGAAGGCGAGGATTGGCAAGGTATGGGCCTCAAGTGAAGAATATATGAAACTCAAAACAGCTGCAGACCAAAATCAAAGTCACAATCTTCAATACAAACGTCAAGACATTTAATTCTATTGTACGGAACTGAAACGTGGAGAACTGCTACAACCATCATCAAGAAGGTACAAGTATTTATAAATAATTGTCTACTCAAGATACTCAATGTCTGTTGACCGGCTACCATCAGCAAAAATCTACTGTGGGAGAGGATAAAGCAGCTTCAAGTTGAGAAGGAAATTAGGAAAGATATTGGAAGTGGATAGGACATACATTACGAAAATCATCAAACTGCATCATGAAGCAAGCCCTAATATGGAATCGTGAGCGAAAGTGGAAAAGTGGAAGACCAAAGAACACACTCCGCCGAGAATCGGAAGCAGGTATGAAAAGGATGAATAACAACTAGAAATAACTGGGAGGGATTACCCATGACAGGTTTGGATGTAAAATGCTGATGAGTGGCCTATCAGTCAGTCAGTCAGTAAACGTAGAACTTCGTAAGTACGTACATCAGTTCGAGTTGCGACACCACGTTAACACAGAGATACAGTGGTCGATTCAAATCCCATAGTGGTAGAGATAATAAATGTATAAGCAGTAATCGGGAAATTTAGTATTTGGAGATGTTATTTAAAGAGTATAATACAGTGAAATAAATTTGGGAAGAGAAAAAAAGAGACAAGGAGGAATAAGGAGATCAAAATTTGGTAGAACACAAAGAGTGTATGCACCTACTCCATTGCAAACGATTTCAGCCATGCCATTCAGGGTCTTTAACCATCGGCCTTTACTCCTATACAAGTGGTAACAGGCGTAAGTAAGTAAGTACTAACTCTTGTTAGAGTAGTAGAAAACCTGTAGTGTATGCTACTTATGCTTACAGATATAAGTAGTATGTAGCACCAGTCGAAAGTGAAATGCCTATCAAAAGAAGATAGAGATGATTGTAATGAATAGAACAAGAAGAAAATTGCAGAGAAATCGAAATAACAACAGGATGATGAATTATGTAAAGGACAACTCAATGAGTTTCCAACCCCCCTCCATGTCTTCCTTCACTACAAACGTTTTTGTAATACACAACTACCGATCATATAAGTTTGGTTAATAAGTTTAATTCCTCCAGAAAATAAATATCTCTTATAATCAATGGAGAGTGTATTAACAAGCTTCATCTTAATAGTCTTATTCTATAAACTCAATAACTATTACGTAATAATAATATGACTAGTGTTGTGGATGGTTGGAAGAAAGTTAGGGATGGCCAAATCAAAAAATGGCATCAGTCTTTGAAGTCACTAATTTCTGGTCTTAGCTATGTTGGTAGATGCAGACTACTTGGTTGCGGTCTACCCGACTATCGTAACCAATGGTTGGAGACTCTGGTTAACATAGTTCAGAATTATCACAATGGTGTAGGTGTATACACTCTTTGTTTTCGTTTAAACCATGAGATTAAAATTACTTTATACTTTTCCTTCTACGAACTAATTCTTTCATCTTGTATTATATCCTTATATGCAAAATCTTTCTTATATATATTACCACCACTGAATTAACTACTTCTATAAATCCGGTGTTCATCTTGTTGTGCTAATGCGGTATGGCAACTTGGACCGATGCATGTATGTGCCTGATCCGAAACTGAAACCGCTGAAAACACAAATAACATCAGTCGAAAAGAAAACATTATACATGAACAGTGATGTTAAGAGTGACAGAGCCACATACGTCTTAAACAGTAGAATTTCTGATTCTTTAAAATGACCGTTCTTAACAGCAACATTGCGAATAGTATTCTTCAGTTGATCATTGTTCATCAATAATCTTAAGGATAAATTACGTCATGTGACCAACTCAATGTGCATTTATCAATGTACCTTCTCATATATAGCCAGGTATATAGGTCGTTCGATGCATAATTTATCCAAAAGCATTCTAGAACATTAACCGGAGTGACTAAGAAGAGGAGGAAACGGTTTAATAAGAAGTCCAATAATCGAACACCTTATGAACACAGATCATTCAATCAAGACAAACTCTGCGTTCAAAGTCATCTACAAGGTAAGTAGAAGGCTTCCAAAGACAATTAGACTGCATCTTCTTTGCATTGCAGAGGCAATAGCCATACATTTTGAAAAACCAAAATTATGTGTACAAAAGAGACTGGTACAACCTCTTCTTCTATCATGGTTTTAATATGTTATAATTTTTTTCTTCATACTCTTCTTCTTTTATAGCCGTCTGCTTCCCCTTTCATCTTCTCCTTAAACATTCTACCCCCAAATGGTTTATTTCTGTTTCTATGATCCCACCTTGATTACATCTTATCATGCTAAGCCATCCTTTCCCAATGAACTATATTGGAAATACATTTTAAATAGTCTCTTATATGTCTGTTAAGTGTTCAATCAAATTCAAAGTATTTCTCTTTTATGTAACTTTTTTTAGATTTTCAAAGGTTACTTAGATGATCAGTTAAATGCGGATAGTGCATGGATGGAAACTGTTGTGATTAATTTACATGAATCGGAGAGTAAAGGAGCTCAACTACCAGATGACATATTAAAGGTAAGTTATATTATAATTGGATTTTTCTTTTGAAACAAAAAAAATCTATTCAACATAAAGACAACACACTTGAAGGGGGAAAGGGATCATTTCTCGAATCTTTGGCCTACA